ACCCACGGTTCTATAGGATCCTCTTTTATATGACCCGAACAATAGTATACTTTATCCTTACAATACAAAGAAATATTAATGGGGCCTCCGGCTAGGTTGACCAGCCCCATATATATGTGCTTAAATAATAAATTTTATTTTCAGTCAACACCAAATCAACCATCAGTTGTTACTAAATCAGCATCTACTGTAGCTTCTAATGATTATACCATTCCTGCAATAGAAAAATCTCTTTTAGAAATGGATCGTAAGCTGATAAATATCCTTTGTTGCTCAAAAAAAAAGACTTTTTCAACCTTATATTTAGTTGAAGCTTTCCTTGGTTCAACTTCAGCATCAACAAATGTTCTCGTAGCACCAGTAAAAAATAATATTTTTACTGATTTACATGGATTAGAATCTTTGAATGTAAGATTTCTATAAATTTAAATTTAATATTTTTCTTGTTTTTTTTGATAGTCAACATCATCAAATGTTGTTTATACAAGACAATATGATTGTTTAAATCGTATTACTGGTCAAGGTTTACAAATTCAATATCGTTTTCCACGTACACCATTTCGACAATCACCAACTATGGTACATGTTGAATTAATATTTACAAATACAACAACAAATAAAGATATTCATTCGATAAAATATTTTAAATCGGTTTGTTATACATTTTTCGCTTCTTTTTATTAATTATTTCAAAAAAATAGAAATCAAATATGAATATTCAAGGATTTGATCAAATTGATACATTACCAAGTGGTATATCAATAGTAACATCAATTGGTATTGATTTTAATGATAAAACTCAATCAGCATTATTTGATATATTATATGATGATAATTTAATACCAACATCATTAACAATATTATGTCATGTTGGAGAACTTATTGAACAAAAATTTTTAAATGATCAACAATTTAATCAAAATTTAGGTAAAGAGAAAAGAAAAAAATAAGATATATTTTTGTTGTATAAAATTTTCTAGTTCGTCTTCGTGGTATGAATGAAATAATAGATAATGTAAATGTTAATGAAGTACAAATATCGAAATTAAATTTTAATACAATTCAAGCTAAAGTTCTTCAATGTGCAAATATGGTTTCAGTACCATCAAGTTCAGGAGATTGTTTCGGTAAGAAAACATTTTTTTTTCCTAATCTATTGACACTTCGAAGTATTGTGTGTTGACTGAACATATTTCAAAAGTTTATGTATAATTATCAAAGTCGAAAAATTGACACATAATTTCGCTGTTTTTGAAAAATAGTTAAAAAACTACTTTCGTGTCTCAACCATAATACTTCCTATCCAGAGTTTGTGTGTATGTACTCCTCTGTTATTTTAAATAGCTTTTGATAAGAACGTTGTAGAGACTTGTAGTTTTTACTACTCACTAAATTTTCTAACAACGATTTTCTACAATTATTTCTCTTGGGTTTTTAAATTTTTTATTATAATTATTTAATAGAAAAAAAAAAAAAGTCTTCTCTCAGCAAAGCGATTTTCGCAAGATCATAAAAGAGCTTGGCGCAAGACTAATGCATTATGCTAGGTCGAAGAGTAATTTTTAGTTTGAAAGTGAATTGACATTATTTTCCGAAATTCTAAAAACATCCGGTTTATATAATGTGAAGTTCAAAAGAAATATTACCTTTTAACTCAGCATGATGAACTAGGTTTGTTCGGATCTGTTTTATGATCTTTCTAAGAACATACAGTGGCTCCAAAAATTATTCATACAGATGTAATATCGACTTTTTTCCGGAATGGTAAGTCACATCAAGAATCCAAATAGTGATTTGGATAGAGAAAATTGTTTCCAACAAAGATCCCAGAAAGATGATATTCTTATATTATTCCCTAAAACCAGGATCTCTAGAAAACTAAAAGCCTATTTTTTCAGCACCCAGACCCCAAAAATAATAGTTTATTCTTATTGCATAAGATGATAGAGCAACGAATTCTCTACAAAATGAGACGTCTCCGAGGTCTCCCCGACAATTTTTTCCTGAACTGCACACGT